AAAAATTAAGAATACCTTTTTGCATACCTACAAATAGCAATACACTGTCTAAAATGAACCAGGACATCCAATTTAGGCATGGAATACTGGCCATTTTATTATATTTTTATCTAGCTATCTATCTCAGTAATAGCCGGGCTTCTTTCGATGTTGCTTCTTTTTGTGCTGTTTTGTTGTGTTATTTTTCAACACAGGAAATAATAAGTTTTAGAGAGTTGAAGATTAACAGGAAAGTATGTATTCAGTAAATAGTCAGTCAGCTTTGCCTTTTAAAAAGTTATTTAAACTTGATAAGCTGCTTCTACTTAACAGTTTATAAATATAGTCCATTAATTCGGTGTTCTGAAATAATATATCCAAGACCTTAAGAAAAAGAACATCATCCTTTTCATCTGCAAAATCTTATCTTTGTTATCAGGTAAATGACTTCCATAATTTTTGTTCCTGGAAAAAAATTTTCTCTTGATTGTTGTTTTGTTTGCTTTTTTCTATCCCATCCTGGAAGTTTATATTTCTGACCCTAACCATTTACAGTTAGATAAATCTTTTACTTCCTCTCCCTTCACACCCCAACAAATAAATGGAACAGAAAATGAGGTCATTCATCACAGTGAGATAAAATCAGAAAGTTGACTGAAGAAATGAAAGTCAGTTTCTTAGTAGACTTATAATATTTTTACATCATATGGCCTTAAGTACTATGAAGAAGCTAAAGATGCATAAACCTCTTAATTTTTTTTTTTTTTTTTTATTTTTAATTTCTGGTGAAGAGATAATGCCAGGGCAGAGCTGATTTGCAGGGAAGAAAAGCAATAAAAAATTGGAATCTACTCAGGCTTGCTCTGTCTGAACACAATAGATTGTTTTATCATCTCTTTTACTAATTCTCATTTAGTTGCCCTAAGTATTTTATGGCAACATTTGCAAGGAGACCATGGGCTTTTCTTTGAGTAAAGGAAAACTGAAGGATGACCATATAAAACAGTTTAAGACAGAGGATTTTTTTTTTTCTGTCTATGGATTAGAGTGGTGAAAAGAACAATTCATGCAGTTATTAATGAGCTTTGGGGTTTGTTCTTCTTCAGTCTTCGGAGAAAAAATGTGCATGTTTTCATTATTTTAGCGGTAATCTCTTCCTGAAGTATTCCAGTCCCACAGAGAATTTAAAAAACTTGTACAGTTAATGGTGACAGTGTGACAGACAAAAGGAGTTCAGGAAAAAGCCACTAATGCTGAAGATGAATTACAAAAAGCAGTGGATTGTTCTATTAAGACAAATAACTTGACCCCAATTTCGGAGCATGATGTAAACACGAACATATGAAATTAGAGAGCAACCAGGCAATTAAATAGGCAAAATTAATGAGATGCTTAAAAAAAAGATACTATTTTTTAAAAAAATTAAACTGAATTGGGTAGCAAAGTCAGACCCAAGATTTTTTTTTAATACAAAAGTGTAAAACTTTTGGATTCTTACCCTTTCAGAGATTGGATATACAACTTTATGAATGATAAAACTGCTGTTAGCTTTGCAAAACAAAGGTATTAATAGTTATTCATTGTCAAGTTGCAGTGTTTGCTTTCCCTTTTCTATTGACCCACTATTTTACTGAAAGTTATACATTTTTAATGAAGATATTTTCAAGTCATGTCCCTACAGAAGATATTACTCATGACTTACACTTACACCCTGGAGCTACTGGAGGGCCTCTCACCCCTCTCATCCTTTTCCGAACAACAAACTGCCTATTTCCAAGCAGAATGTACCAAATCCAATAAAAAATTGCTGTAGTTTTGCTTCTTCTATGGGTTAACACAAAAGTATACTATGCACTAGAGATTCTGCACTCTTATACAGTGAACTGTCACATTAGACACGAACTGCTGAAATCTTCAATTTAGCTCCAGTAAAAACTGGACTAAACAAACTTTCTGTTCTCTTTCATTCAAATACCTATTTTGTTTTGAGGAGGAAGAAAGAGGAAATAAAATTTATAAATTATCTCCATGAGTTTCAGGGATGGTTGTATTAGCAGCCACTGTTGTGGGTGCAGAGGGGGATTCACTCTCCAGTCACTGAAAGGCCACAACTCCCTTCGTGACCCTTTAGTGCAGTCTGACAAGCACAGCACCCTGCACACTTCTATAGGAGGCTCCTGTCCCTGATGAGAACCACAGGGGTGACCCTCATAACCTTTGGATCCACAACTAAGAAATTCTAAGCTAAACATCCTCGTTTGAACCTACCTGCCTCTGCCTGCTGGCAGCTCTGCCTCACCCATTACCCACTCCCCGCAGCACCTCTCCAGCACGGCCGGGGCCTTCCTGCGAGGCTACCCGGCTGGGATCAGGATGCAGCTGCCCTTACCTGGAGCGAAAACCATGATGCCGCCCGGGTAGCACGGCTTAGCACCTCAGACAGCTCCGGCCCCGCTGGGATCAGCACCTCAGACAGCTCCCGGCCCCGCTGGGATCAACGCCCGGACGTCGCCCGCCCCGTTGGGATCAGCACCACGGCCAGCGCCCGGCCCTGCTGGATCAGCACCTCGGCCAGCGCCCGTCCCGCCGGGCTCAGCACCACGGACAGCGCCCGGCCCCGCACGGCGGCGGAGGCGGCCGCGGTCCCTCCCTCCACAATGCGGCGGGGCGGGGAGGGGGCCGGGGCGCCCGCACGGACACACACACACACACACACACACACGCGCACACACACACACACACACACACACACACACACGCACTCTCCCTCTCTCTCTCTTCCAGGGAATCATCACTGCCATAACTCCTTACCCTGCAGTAGCAGCAGGGGTAAGGGCAAAAAGGAGAAAGGCAACAGCGATCTGCCCGGCAGGGAGACTGGCTAATTGCTCCTAATTACCCCTCTCGACAACAGTCCCGCTGCCTGACATTTTGGGGTGCGCTGCTTTCAATGCAAGCTGACAGCACTGGTAATAGGCTTCAGCAACACCGCACTTTGTCACAGCATTTTTGCTTCCAAAAGCTCAGATGCTGAGGAATTTATACTCTGATTTCACAGGCCCGTTAACCCAGCTGTACCCAACAGCAGCACTTTAAGAGGCAACATGAATATTTCGGCATATAAAAGACTATATCAAGGCCAAACAGTAAAGAAAATAATGAATAGCAATAAAATAAAGACTATGAGGGTCAACAGCAGAAGACTACTTTCCTACCAACTTTTATGTTTCAGGTTTAATTTACTTTTGTTTGTACAACCCATAGTCAGGATTCTTTTGGGCCATGAACTTCTACAGTAGAAGTGAGAAACACGCAGCCTGATGGGAAAAGCTTTACAAAAACTAACTCTGCTCTTTAAACCTAACTTGCAAGAGGGATTTTGAAAAACATTATCAGGGTAAATTACAGAAAGTACATTAAAAAAAACCCTGTACAGTTTTGCATGTATATGTTTGCAACATGCAATGTATTTTCCAATCATATTTTCATAACTTAAGATACTCTTACAAGCTTATTTCATTCTTTTCATAGTCAAGCATTTCATGGACACAGAATTCTCCAATTAACCTGAAATATTTGAAGTCTCAAAATAAGACCTTATTCTTAAAATACAGAAAAGACTGACCTCCTTAAATAATATTGCTTGTATACTTCAGCTAGAACTCAAGAGTGGCATCACTGTCAAAGTTAAACTAATTATTTGGTGATGGTTTTTGGTTTTTTTTTTTTTTTGAGGGAAGGTTGTTAGTTTGTTGGTGGTTTTTTGTTTTTGTTTTTGTTTTGTTTTTTTTTTCTTTTTCTTTTTTTTTAAAAGTGTGTCACATCATTTCTCCTTGGGAATTCGTTCCAGAGGATTTATCTTCACTTACCATTTCTAGTATCCAGTTTCTGGATATCTCTATTATTCCCCTTAGCAATTTCAGCTTCTTTATTACTATTTGTTTCCCTCTTCTGTCTTATATTTCAGGGATCAGTTTCACTTCTCTCAGATGGCAACTGAATGAACATAAAGATACCCCTAGTTGCTCAGGAATGGTGTTCCCTTTAAAAATGTGACTCCAAAAATCTCTATTCTAACAGTTTCTCACCTATCATTATTCCCATTCACCTTAAGTATGGGAACCAATTACCTAAGAACTCAATTAGAAGAATTTCTAGTAAAAGTATCCCACACAAAATACAGAAATGAATGCAAGTCCTCAATATTCATCATTCTTAGGAGAAAGGTGAAGGATACCCCATAATCTTTAGAAAACCATGACTGATCCATAATCTGAAAAGATTGTAAGAAAACTTATACTGGTATATTTATGATATATCTGTTACATAGCCCTTAATGCTTGATGAAGAGTTATCTATCATTTAAAAAAGGTATTAAAGCACTTCTCAAAAAAATTCCTATCGGACATATTTCTATTACATACATTCTCAAATTATATGGATGTTTCTAAGGGATTGTTTTGAGATGGTGGAGCAGCATGCTAACAGATTTTTAAAACAATAAATACAATTAGGTGATATCAAAGTCTGTAAGTAACCTGCAAAATTCTAGGTGGATAACAGAATTTGGTGAAAGAATTCAGTTCATTACCTGGATGATGCCAATGAACATCTTTCTTTAACTGCTATCTGTATTTAATCTGATAAATAACTCAAACCAGTCACATTTTATTCTAAGGTTTTCCATTTTCTTGCTTAAATTACAAGCTAACAGCAAGTAATGTTTTCTGTTAGAGGAAAAAATGCTATCAAAAGGCTTTTTGAACTTATTTTTGTTATAACGTTAATTTCTGGACTTTGGATTGGGTCACAAGTTCAAATGCACCCAAAAAATCACTGAAATAACTGCACAGGACAGAGGTCTTTAGTGAACTGTCACCTCAGAAAGAGTGTGCAGTTAATGCAGTACAAATCCTGAAACTAAGAGTGCACTAATAAATTTTTTTTCATTCAACTTCAGGTAAGTGGAAAACAACACTAGTTATGCCCACTTATACAAAAAAAATCCCTTGAGAATTAAGCACATTGGTAAAAAGGAGAGTATATAATTAAACACAATACATTCAAAGATGTTCCATCAAAATGTATGAAACAGGAAGCACAAAAACACTTGCAGAAACATCTGCATAAATTTTTATCAGTAATCACAGAGTCCTTGCCATGTATATAATTTAAATTATTAATCTTTAAGTGAGGAATTACTGATTCCCATATAACACCTGTGGACATAAAACTTCTTTTTTAATGTATCTTTAAATACTTTTTTAAGGATGTCTTGGCTTACTTATAAAGTACTTCATTAAAAACTTTAACACTTTTTTTAACAGATAGCTAATATATCTAGACAGTTACAAAAATCATGTTGACTGATGTCACATTAAATCATCCATGCTATACATAGTTCTGTGGATTTAGACCCAAAGCAAGCCCTTTATACTAATAGAGCTGAGAACAATTATTTGGTTACACAGGTTCAGAAGCTTAGTAAATCTCTATTCAGGAAGGAGCACTTTCCACCTGGTGACGTGCAAGGTTTCCATGTTCTGTTAACAAAAACGTAGAGCTAATATTTTACAGGTAGTATTTTAAACTCTTTTCTAAAAGAATCATGCAGAATGAATCACCTAAACATAAATGAACACATTCTATAATAAAATTAATACAAAGGGATAAGATTTCATATGTCTTACATCAAATACATTCAAAAGTATATTTTGTAAAATTTTTTTAACCCAACTTTGAGAACTAATTATCTCTCAGCCTTTTTCTTTATTTCTTCCCACACTTGTACATTAATAATCAAATCTAAATTTTTGGGAGGGAAAAGTAGGAAACTGCTTGAATTATTTGATGTCTTTTGCTATATTGTCTAAGATCATAATGGTCTTCAAAAAGCAATTACAGTCACTGTAATCTTACAGTTAAGCTTAACATAAAAATCTTTACTAGCCAAGATGCAAGATATTACATCTGAAACTGCAAGGAAGCTGTCTAGAGGAAATTGTGACCGGTTGTCATCAAGAAATATCTAAACATTAGATGACTATTTGAAATGTCAAATTGCAATCTGTACAGCAGGGACCACAATAGCCAGGATCCTAGATTTGGAAATCTAACATTTAGTACCTCTCTGATTAATGTACCTCTAACAGACAGAAGTAGAGAATAAAAAGGGAAGGTAGAAAAGAAAAAATAAAAATAGACACAAGTGCCATTCTCCTGAAAAAATAATGAAATGAAAAGTCAGTTACCTTTCCATGAGTGCTTCAGAAGAATAGTGGAGCACAGCAGCCAAAGTGGTGACACCATGTAGGCCAGAAGCAAGAACATGCAGCATTTCCCAAAACAGTAAGAAGTGAATACCATTAAAGATAAGTGTGGCCAATAGTATTTTAATCCATTGGTCAATTCATTTTTCTTAATTAATCTGATAAACTACATAATAGTCCAGGGCTGTGATTTACAACTATGAAAATATTTTAGACAGAGTCTAGGAGAAATAGCTGTACAGTTTTGTGGTGGTTTTTTTGGTTTGTTTGGGTTCTTTAAAGTATCACAAAGATGCATCCATCCCAGGACTTCTCACAGCCTGTAAAGATATCCCAAAACACCCACATCCATCTAGGTAATATTTCTAGCTGATTATATTGCCACCCTCACAACATCTGAATGCCTTGCACCCATTAATGATTATCTTCAAACAGTCCCATAAAGAATAAATTGGTATCTTTCTGTTATAGAGAGGAGTAAAAATTAGAGAAGCTGAACCCAAAGCAACAAAAATCAACAACAACAACAACAACAAAAAAAAATCCGCCCAATCAACAAAAACAATGACCTAGATAAACCTCAGGAGGTTTAAATAAAAGATTCAATGACTCACCTAAAATATTACTACATACACAACTGGGCAGTGAAGCCAAAGTAATCGCTGTTCCCACCTGCCACATCTTTGCTGGTTGTCAGTCCCTTCACCAAGACAGATGAATGAGTCACAGCCCAAAATTTAGAGTCTTTCCATCATGCAAGAATTCTTATGTACATCAAGGAATTCAGTTCAGTCAAGTCCTTGGCTAATGACCTTGGATCTAGCAGAGACATTGTGAAACCATAGGCAAAGGTTTAAAAGGACCTCACACACAACCACTCTTCTGTGACTTGTCTCCATGGACAAGGCCATACCATTCTGCACCATATGGAAAATGCAGAGGTTGAGCTGGAAGTCTCCTTCAAGTGAAATTCTCGTCTTCAAACCTTTTCTGTTCCTATCAGCAAAACATTCACTACATTAAAAATTAATGTTTTTGTATGTGTCTTTCTTTTTTCTATGGAAACTGTTTTAAGACTCTGATCATGCCACAGCTTACTGGTGTGTGTAACTTGACACACAAGTCATAAAATTAGGCCTTTTTCTCAAGTTTTCAAGGAACTTAAATGGAGAGAAGCATTTATGACCCATGGCAGACCAGTGAGCCAATGAGCTAAGGAGAAGAAAAGTCAGCTTTAGAATAAATGAAGATTTCCAGACTTAAAAAAAAAAACTATTAGAATTCTCAATCAATCAATTATATATTTTGATAAAAGTAAACCTAAATATTAAAACACATGCTTAATTTAATGCTCAAAGAAAAGAAAAAATGTCAGTAAAATGTAAATACCAAAGCCATAATTTGAATGGGCTACTAAATAGCTTAGAGTGTTCAAGAACTGAGAATAGGGAAATTATACTGCATCACAGCAATATAAAATACAAATGGTAAATACAAAATGCAGCTTCCTAACTGGTCATATAAAGGCAAAAGGATGGGGATTTTATCATGTTTGGCTAAAAATTAAAGAATGTGAAAAAATAAGAGAAATATGTGAATTTTAATTAAGTTGGAAAACATCGACTTTGATACAAAAGAAAGGATAAAACCAGTAGAGTTTTAAAACTTTAAATTATGACAGCAAGATTCTGGGAGCATAATCTATGTCCATCTGGAAAGCATCTATAACAGGACAATCCTACACTGGTAGAATTTATCACATCCATCAAATCAGAGTTCCTGTCTGACTCAATTTAATATGTCCTTGAAATAATGGAAGATCTGCAAGAAAGTCACACAACTGGATAGTAGTTAATTATTGAAGTGGAAAATGAAACCTACACTTCAGTTTGAAAACATTGACTAAGACTTAAAATGGGTAATTGTTCACTTCAATTAAAACATTTGTGTCTAACAAACGTCTGATTATGATGGCAGCAATGATATTTTAAAGTAAGCATTTTTCATGTATTTCAAGGTTGGTTTTTTTGTGCAGACTGAATTGCAAAGCAATTCAGCATAAGCAAATCTGTCAGTCTCTTTAAAACTGTAAGTTTTAATTGTTACTATATAGATTTGTAGATAAGTGTTAGTCTAGTAACCAAGCCCAGTTATGTTCAGACCTTTAACTCCTCTGAAATACAAAAGGGTAGAGCTGCTCCTTCCTACTTTTCAAATGGACTGTTGAATTATTTTTGCTTATTTGATCTCAGATTAAAAACATTCAGAAATACAAAGAGAATACACATATGCAAATGTTTTGAAAAATCAACTCTTTCCAATACAAGCAGTCAAAGAGACCTTACTGCTTTTCAGGAGTATAAGATTTCCTGGACAGTCCTGTAAAGTTAAAGACTGAAACTTCACACTAGCATTACAAAGTATATGTCTCCAAATCCTGGTGTAAGTTCTATTCTATATTTTAAGAGGAAGCATATAGGGACCATGCTTATTATAAAAGTTACTGGAGAATGTGGATGAATCAGTAAAACATCAAAACCAGTAATAGCTATAATAAGGCACCTTGTAAAAAGGAAATATTTAAATGCTATTACTTCAAATGAGAAAAAAAATTCTTGTTAAATTAGCATAGAGAACCATGAGAAAAATCAGCAAACAGAACTCATGTCCAGGGAAGAACTTTGCACAGAAAGAAGGCCACTCTTAACAAAGAATGCCTCCTAGAGCCTCAGCTACACAGTTGAAGAATTACATTTAAAACTCATTATTGTCAAGTACCAAGTGGAAATGTAAGAAAACCTATGATTTTTATATCCAGGCCTTTAAACTGTTTCATATTTATAGGTAGAAATAAGCCAAAATCACTCAAACTTTAGATTTTCCACAGAACCCTAAACTGAAAAAGGAGAAAATTAAATTATGATAAAAGCAGTCTAGCTGACATTACCTAGTGAAATACAGAATCTATTCCTATACTTTGGATATATATTATCTGCATTAACTAAAAAAGGGGATTATTTTCTTTTCCCAGCATGGTATCTAAACCAGATCTACAATAGATGTAAGTTACTATGAAGTGAATATTGTCTACTTCTAATACTTGAAAAGATTAAATTATGTTGAAAATGCTTTTTTCTTCATACTTTTGGGATTCTAGTTTTGTCCTTCAGTGAACTAAATACCTTTGTCTTTTATTAAGAACACTTTCTCCTTAAGTTGAGCAATTTGTCACCATTCAAGACTGTGCAGAACTGTTGAATAAGAGGCAAACAGGAGTAGATTAATTTAAACAACAAAGGAGAAAAATAGCCCCCACAACTTCAATCTCTAAATTCCATCCTCCTGAAAAAGCAGAAGTGACATATACAGATCACCCTCTTCAAAATCCCTCAAGTCTACCAGCAATGGATGCTGCAAGGAAATGGTGCCTGATCCCTTCTGTTGCCTGGCAGCTCCTCACAAGCACCGTGCAACATGTGCTGTGCTTCACCACTTTGTATTTAATGTGGTGCCAAAATTGGGCAAGCCCTGCTCCATTCCTTCTAACTCCAACAATGTGCTCCTGCCACTTACTTTGGATCAAACCTAATGAATTGGTTCAATTTAAAACTAACTCACATAAGCACTGAATTGCTTTCTTATGTAAAATCACTCCACTGACTTACTCTAAAGCCACAAAAGCTGCTAAATCTGAGACAAACAAGAAGGAAACATGCAAAAGGTAACAGAAAGAAAGAAAAAGAGAAAACGAGATTACCCCATTTAGCAACAGTTTGCAGTTCACTATGACAGTCAAAATACAAAGCTGCTGTCTCAGGAGGCAGCTCCACAATAGCTTAAGCTGCTCCAAACTGAGGCTGTTTTTCCACTGACCCTGGTGGAAGCTCCACCAGTGGAGCTAGTAGAGCTCCACTGTACTCCATTCTCCTGTCTGAGCAATTTGAAATGCCACAACAGGGTTTTGTTCTGTAAGCACTGCTTGTGGTACCCTCTGCTCTGGAAAAAAAAAGGATTTCTATTAGTGAAGAATGAAAGCTTGGATGCAGGGAAGCTTGGTCTTTAGAATATTTTAAAAGACAAAAATACTGTATGTTGCTTGCATATACAGATTACTTAAATGTACACACAGACCACTGGGAGGAGGTCAGTAAACTGCAAGTGGCAGCACTGCAGGGTTTGAGTGGTTTTGGTTATTATTTTTAACAGAATGGGTTTACATCAGAAAACCCATTTTTTCTAAACATAAAAACTTTCATCCTTTGGTGAAAAAACAGAAAAACTCCTCTCATGTTTTAATGATTTCATGAAGATGATCTATATTGAATGCATCATATCTATGAATTTATTTTATTTCTGAATGAAAATACAACTTTAGCTCTATTGCCTAATGTGTAGCATGTAGTACTGTCCTTTATACTTCTTTAAAGTGGCTATAATCAAAAACAAAATACATTTGGAATTTTGATTCAGTAAGAATTCTCATTTCTTGTTAGTACCACTCGTTTTACAAACTCAGGCTTTCAAACTATAAACTTTTAAAAAAATCATAGAAAGAGTCTGAGATACAGGTATCCAGAAGTTCTGCTTTGGTCATGGTTTTTGATACCCCTATACCGAACAGATCAGATGTAGTACATCTTTATTCATACAGTCCACACATTTTTCAGGTTTACCTATAAAAAGTAGATGCTTAGCTACTAAATAGTAAAAATACCAGTAAATTAAAAAATATCTACTAACCAGATTCAAAAATATTATTTATATTTTAAAGAGTTACATTGCTGTTCATATTGGAACCACTGAAGTTCACCAATTTTCAGAGTTCTATAAATATCTAAATGATCAGGGCATGCAAATAAAAATAATATATAAGGACAGTGGAGAGAAAAACACTGGAAAATATATCAGTACTCTATAAATCACTATTTTTAGCTATTCAGTTATTTCAGATTTCTTGCATTACATTTAAAAATACTTCCTGAGAATAGGTGTCTCAATTCTTATGACACATATTTAACAAATCTATTCATGGAAATCTTCCATCTGTTCTGAAATGAATAAGAATGTTACTATAATTGTTTTAGATCTATATGAAGACAAATGACAGACCAACTGCTGTAATGGAATTTTTAATGAAATCTTCACATTTCTGGCTGACTGGGCACACTACTGTGATCTAAGGACTAACAGAAAAAGATGAAAATTCCTTAGATCTGTCCTCACTGTTCGGGCAGAATTATCCTGTCCTGTACCTATCTGTAAATGCTTACATTCAGAAAAGTCATCTGTTGCACACAGTAGATGATGTAGTCTCTTTCATAAATGCTTTATCTTCTCTACAACACCATGGCTGTATGTATTAATAGAATACTTAACAAAAGATAATCTGCCACTAGAAGTATACTCTAACTTTAGAGTAGACTTTCTGACATAATCTGGTATATTATTCTGTATTTCACACAATTCTATTCATTTAAAGTATCCCTATTTAATGGAATCATGAAAGAAATCTCTATATTAGAAAACTGAAGCCTGATCTTCAAAAGAACTCCAGTTTGGCTACCTAAATTGCAAGATTTTGAGGAGTATTTAGCATTCTGTAGCTTACTGGAACAAATAGCTGACCTCAAACTTTTGCTACTGAAGTGAGCATGAGGAATTTCTTTTCACAAAACAAGCTTTAAAATTCTAATCACCAGGTCTAAACCTTTCTGAAAGATTAAAGCAGAAAAAAACCCCCACAAGTACTCACTCAACTGTGATTTGCCTAATTTTCCAATATTTTTAAAAATATTGATAAGAGTAGCATGTAAAAGAAGGGCTGAGGAGTGGAGACCTCTAGATTCCAAACTGAGTTTTGCCAAATAATCAGCAGCATACCCATGGCTAATATGATTAGGATGAGAAATTAGGCAGATATTGCAGTTCAAAATGTGTTCATTTTGTTCCTTTTTCCCTTAAAAAAAATCCAAACAAAAAACCTTCTAAGGAATGTTAGTCTAGTCTAGCCCCAATAGAACCAACAGCAAAATTTCCATTAATTGAACAGAATCTCATCCACTGTCTCAAACAGTAAAAGAAGTTGCTGCCCTTGTATAAGCAAAAATAAAAATGTGCCCATTCCTCAATGGACACAGCTTATACCTCACAGCTCATTGCGCTGGAAAACCTCATTGGCTAGGAGCTGATGCACACCTGCTTTTGTGCATTTTGTCCTCCTGGTGCCCAGGAAAGAGATGGGAGCAGTAGCATTGTAAGATGCAGACAAATTTACCTGAACTTCACAGACACACCCCCACAATATATAGGCTCACATTCCTTCAGAATATACAGATTAGTTTAGAACACTCTAACAACAATATAAATACAGCTAAGGATATCTCCATCCCTCCACACCTGTAATTTTTACAGCTATAAGCTGTAACAAAAGCAGAATCTACTCTGATGTAACACACAATGCTCTCACACTTTCCACTGTGAGTCTTCTCATGCAAGCCTGCTTTTCTGTAACAAGCTCAAATTTGCAGCCTGACCACTTGTGCTCAAAAGACAGCAGCAGTTTTCTTTAACTATAATACTTGAGTTCGGTCTTTCCACTCCAGTGTCTGCTGTCCCAGTGACCTCCATTTTTATTTCTTACTTTCCAAAAAAAAAATCCCAATGAGGATCTTCTTGAGAGGTTATGGAGTTTATCCCTCAGCTTCAAAGCCAAACTAACCATATTTAAACCACTCCTAATAGATGTTTCTCTAACCCATTAGTGAATGTTACCACTAGTGGAGATTGCAGTACCTCCCCAGGCATTCTCTTTTAGTGACTCATATTTATTTTTTTTTTTCCAAATGTAATTGTTTACTGCTGTAATTTATGCTCATGGTTTCTTGCATTCTTCATAGCAGACCTTGAGAAAATTTATTTTCTTCACATTTTACACTTTTGAACTCTTAACATAACAGATCTGTTTTGTACAGTCCTTTTAACCCCGACTTACCTAGGAAGAAGTGCACACAATTTCAGATAAGAAAACATAGCAAGACGATATATTTAGAAAAAAAAAGTAGATCCTATTTTGGACCTACTATCTTTATATCTATGATCATATACAGTAAAACATTTTAACAATGGTCATTTATCATGTTCCTCAAGAGAACCAATAAAATGCAATGAATACACATCCTCTGATGTTGCACAGGTACAAAATGTATAGTTTGTTTACAAACTAATATTACTGAATGCAAAATGAAGCAACATTTTAAAAAAATATATTGGTAAAGGTCCAAAGTTTACATTTTCTAAAATATTAAGGTCATGTTTTATTTACAGACCAGCGTTTGAACAATTACTGGCATTTAAAGATAACTGCTTAACCTGATGAATACATGAATAAAACAAAGCTGTAAAAAAAAAACCTAGACCAAATAAAAACCCCTCAGTAACTGAAGTTCCATATAACAGTTCCAAAAACACTATTTTAAATTTCTATTTCGAAAAGCAAGATGTGATCTACCACACAGTAACTTATCAGAAACTGGTCTAACACTTTGATATGCTATAGTTATGGCAAGTGACCAATGTTACCAACCATGTGCCCAAGTGTGTTTTTTGCCCATTCCAACTTCAAATGAAGTTTTCACAACAGCTGTAGTATTTACAAATTTAAAATAAAGGGTCGATATACCTTTGGATTGCATTGCTGCTGTTACTGTGTCTTCTCTTGATGACCACAAGTAGCAGACTGCAATCCAAAGACCACTTATTTTCTTGACTCTGTGAGTTAACTATTGTTATCAGCATGTACCCCAGCTGGTTTTAAAAAAAATAGACTAAGCAACTGACTAATAGTGAACACTCACCCAGGATCAATTCTGACAGAACTCACTCACTGAAGTCCCCCTCTTGATGAGGGGTGGTGTGCCAAAAGGTGGAAGCTTTTAAACTCGAACAGGACCTATGAGCTGTATGATCAGCCGTGACACAAACCCCAGCTGAGCCTGCGGGCAGGTATGTGACACCCTTGGCTGCAGCTTCAGGAGCCTGGCAGTGACACCTGGTCACCTGCTCCTGCAGACACTCCTCTGCCTTCACTGTGCTAGGTTAGGTGACCTCAAGTTGCATAATAAAAAAAACATCTCAGGCTGTATTAGCTTTTACTGATTTTTACTGGGTTTGAGTAAGGAGCATGTCTCCTCCATGCTCCACCCTTTTTCCTTTGTGGCCCAGTCCCACCTCTGGGGCCCTGTATAAAAGTGAACATAAAAACAAATGAGGCAGACATTTTTGCCCACAGAAGGGACTGGTGAATGCCATGACACTTCTGCTTTGCCAGCCAGAATCCCCGTGAATAATGCAGTTTTTTCAAGAATGCAAGTAATTCATTAAAACTTGCCACCTTTATAAAAATAGGAGGATATCTGAGGGAATGGAATAAGAAGCAATTTCATTGTGATTACCATCCTCCTTTACACTCTGTTGTACCATCCTACATTAGGTGAAAAAAGGCAGAATTAAAAAGCTTAGGGATTCAGTGTATGCTTCTCATAAAAATTGTAGGTACAACGCCTAAGAGTTATGAAAACCAAATAATTTCTTTCCATGTTTGTGATTTTTGAGATCTCAGCATTTTCAAGCATAAGTCACTGATTCTCACTGATTGCAATGTTTACATCATATTCAGTATTCCACACTGGATAAAGGAAATTATCAGCCAGTGATGATCCCTGCTACAGAGAACTTGATCACATTCTCAAATTAAAGCAGTTATTAGTGCATTATACTGCTAGTGACAACAAAACTGTTTCACATTCTGAGAACACCCATCTCTGAAATGTTTTAACATACCTAACCAAGCGATGCTATGTATTCCTATGTAACATTCAAATCCTCTAAAAATATGCTTTCTTGAAAAGATTCTCGGTCTAAATGTATATCAACAACAGATTTTGCTCCATTTAATTTCTTATATTATTTCTGATAAAGTTCCTACTTTAGTTTTTAACTACAGGCTATAGTTTCTAATTGTTGCTCTGCTTCAGCAGCCATGGCTGCTGCCTGCAACTGTTCTGTTTCACTCTGGATGGAATTGGCTGCTGTAACTTGCTTTCTTTCACTGTGCATATTATTCTCGTGCCTTTTTAGGTCAGATGCCTTAGCAAATGCTTTAGTGCAGGAACTGCAGACAAAAGGTTTCTCTCCTCGGTGCCTTCTTTCGTGGTCTTTGAGGTGGGACTTGTGTTTGAAAGCTTTATCACACATATGGCATGCAAATGGCCTCTCATTACTGTGAACTCTTTCATGCTTTTTTAGATCTGGTGCACGAATAAAAGACTTCCCACACACTTCACAACTGTAAGGCTTGTAACCCGTGTGTATTTTCAAGTGTTCTTTCAAATGAGCCTGCGTGGTGAAGCCCTTCGTACACATTTCACAAACAAATGGTCTGTCTGCAGTGTGTAGTTTTTCATGTTTTCTCAAACGCGCTTCATCGGAAAAGGTCTTGCCACAAGCCTGACATACAATGTGTTCCCTGTGACCGTAAAGCAAGTACTCAAACTTCATATCCCCGGCTGCTGTGGTCCATCCTGGTGTCTGTTCATCTTTCACTTCACTTATGCCATCATTAAATGTGAGTGCCTGAGGGGTCTGAGATCCTAAGTCTTTAGATTCCGTTGTTTCCATAGGTTCTACTTCTTGGCCATAGCAGTTGACTTTTCTAACTTCTTCACTTCCCAATTCTTTCAGAATTGCCTCTTGCACTCTCAGAGTAGTGGTTGGTGATTTACCATCTTCCTGACTTGGGGGAGTGCCTTCTACTGTCACATCTGATGGACTGTCATCATGATCTCCAATCTCTTCCACCTCATCATCTTGGGTATCATTGGGTTCCCCAATAGAACGGTTCATTTTTAGACAGTACTTGCTCTTGGACTGTGTGTTTTCCTCAGGACTAGATACATCACGTTTTTGAGAGCAGAGTTTATCAAGAAACCGAATACCAAGGATCTGGCCTGAAGACATCATCAAGTTTACATCCTCTTTTTTAACAGAAATCTTTGCAGTATACATGTAATTGAGAACTTCCTCAAAAATATCAGAACGAAGAAAATCTATTTCTATTACTGATGAACTATCAACTTCAAGTTTTTTGAAAAGCTTTTTGAAGTAGGTACTGCAGGCAGCAAGCACGCACCTATGGGCTCTGAACTTAACATCTTCAACCACAATAGCAATGTCACAAAACTCTCCTTCCAAACGTTGTTCATTCAATGTTTTCAGGAACACAGTTTTGTGATCGTCGTCATTATATTTAATGGTTTCAGACATACTGATGAAAAACTCCTGTAAATTAACAGGAAATTTTTGTAACTTTTATAAAGCAGTCTAAGTCACAAAACCCCAAGAGATTAAGTAATTTCCATCATTTAAAAAAACCCAACTTTTTTTTTGCATAAAATGACCACAAAAAGCCTGTTAGACTGTAAAAGTATTACTCTGTAACTGATTTTAAAATTGTGAATGTATAAAGGTCTTTCTTATGTTACACAATTTACAACTGTTCAAATCTTCATTACAAAATTGAAAACTTACTCTTTAAAACTCCAATTCTCATTAAATGTATTATGCAACTCATAAGCCATTATTACAGCTAAAGGAAATGTTAACACTAAAAATGTGTAGGAAATACTCTAAATAAGTCAGCACGATAAACTAAATTTGAAATATCAAATATAAGCCTTACCATGAACAATGCGGGAAGTTTTCTAAGCAAATGATTATTAAATTAATCTCAGAATGGGCCACCTTCAGCCTGAAAGATGAGAAGATAATAACATTTCAATACGTGATAATATTGATTCCAAAAATTATTTTGAGTGTTAAAAGACAGCATTTTCAATTATTTAAAATTAGATAAAATACATTGTTGAAATACCCAGTTATTTTCTCAATGACACTACAGACAACTGTAGAGGACAACTCCATGTGTTTATTTTCCTATGCCTACTGCACTTCCCTGGTTCCACTTTCCTGCTACTTAACTTTGCACTAAATCTAAAGGTCTGGAAAACCTCGCTGGGAATCACCACAATTAAGGCAGTAACCAACCCATCAAGAAGCTGATCAGTCTTCTGCTGAACCAGAGAGCTGAGCCAGCCTAGCAGAGGGTCTGGCAAGCATACCAAACATCCCAAAGGACAGCAAACCAGGGACAGGGATGGATGCACATCCAGGACCAGGAAAAGGGACAAGTATACCAGATTTCCAAACTATGGAGATACCAGAAGACAAAAGGATAATGCAAGACACATAATTTCAAATTATTTAATCCCAACTGACATCTACTTGCGCCAAAGTAGGAAATGCAGTGGAGATAATTTAATACTTTGGAACCAGTGCCACCTGGCACAGATCTCCTGGGAATTTCTTCCCTAAATTCTAATTTATCTGTAACCATATATGAAACAGAAGCAGATGACAGGTATGATGACAGGTTTGCAACTCTTGGTGCTGCGTGTTTCACACGATATGAGAACACCTGACTGCAGGTCTGGCACCTCTGCTAAAGTGTCCCCGGCTACACAGAAAAATTAAAATTAAAAAAAAGGGGAAAAAGGACAGACAAAATTCTTTTCTTAGTCCCAAATAATCAAATTTTAAGATAGCTAGATAGTAAGTCCGTAAATATTTGAAATATACAAAAGGGAATGAAACCAGAAAGCAATATTGTATATATATTTATGGGCCGTCTGGTTCTGCTGGCCCAGGAAAATGTATCGGTCCAGCATTGAAGATGGTAGGGCAAACAACTATTTAAATGGGATCTTTTTCGAGTTCTTTGCAAGATGGGAAAAGCTTTCTTCTTAAGCAAGCATCAAAATGTCACTGGCAATAATCTAGCAGCAATTGCACCGTCCTGTTAAACAGTATGCGGTTTTGCTGCAATTCTGTCGACACTGAGAATGAATTATAGAAGAAATTGGCTGAAAACAGGGCTGCGGAGTATACAGGGGTGTGCAACTGGCAGAGAACAGTTAGTCCTTTGCGAATGGAGCGGGTCAGGCACTCGCCCAGAGCGTTTCTAGCTCTGGTTACTTATTCCACTGGGCAATTCAGATTTATTCCTCCACACGCTTTTCACACGGCCGCTACCTCCGCAAGGGCCGCACGGAGGTGTTTGCGGGGCTGCGGCTGCTCGG